TGCCTAAAATCTCCAAGCCCAGCTTTCTCGTAATTAAAATGGGATGACATGGTTCCTACTTCATAGGATGCTTGTGAGAACTTAATGAGAACATGCATGGAAGATGTATGACCCAGTGCCTGGTACAGGACATGTATTTACCTGGACTGCTTTTCCCCAGGGTCAGTGCTGGGGACGCTTATTTATGCTCTTAGTTCATTATCTTGGTTTCCTCCAATCCTTGTTCAAGGGAGGCAGGTTATAAACAGTCAATAATTGTGATTTGTTATTCTTCTTTCTAAAGAAATAATTTACCATTGGTGATTTATAACGTAGTGATTTACAGTGGTTCACATACGGAGTTCAGGTGGCCACTAAATGTCTCCGGCTGGGAAACCTCGGGGAGAACCTGGCAGTATATGGGGAAGTCAAATGATTGTTCTCGGCTGGTAATAATATCAGTGTGCATTCTCAGTGTTTCTAGAAGCGTTCTATTTGCTTGTTCACTCCTTGACATTGAAGAGAGAGGCCATGCTCTCATTGACAAACATTACGTCCCTGTACGCTTCTCTGTTGCTCTGTGTTTGCTATAATGAAGATACAAAATGTGCAGGGGCACCGGTTCCTGGGCACGATCTAGAATCTGGGGGTGCCATGCAGCTAATTAGGTGAACCTCCTGTCTGGTGGCCAGACGCTGTTGGTTGAAATGCCTCTGGAGAAGTCCATGCATTTCCCTCACATCGAGCAGAGAACCTCACAGGAGGAAGGGAAAGTGGAGGGCATGAAAGCATCGGATTATTTGTCCTGTTCTAGCCTGTCCTCAAAGGTGGCATTTGTTCAGTCTTATCAAACACCAAGGAAGGACCGAGCGGCCGGCGGCCGGGAATGTGCAGGTTCATGGTCCTGCACTCCCAAGGCTCACACCGTAATAGGAGCACACACACCTGTTAAGACGAGGGAAGAGCATCAGTGATGCAGTGGGGGGAGGGCGCATCTTACTGTCGGACACTTGTAAAATGCACAAAAACTAGTTCTGTTTCCTGAGGCCTCCCTTTGATGGTAGGAGAGTCAGACTACCTGCGAAGTTCGAGAGACTTCTAGGGGCTCAGGAGAAGGCGTCGTTGACCTGCTGGCTTGCCCCAGCCTCGGAGGCGAGCGCTCTGGGGTTCTCAGCTGGAGTGAGCGTCGGGCGGGCCCCTGCCCCCCGGAGACCCGAGAGGCATCGCCGGCTCTTCCCCTTCCCCTAACCATCGGCTGACGACTGGATGCTGTATCGCCACCCAGGGAGAGACGCTGATCGGGTTTGTGCATCGGTGTGTCACCAAATGAATAAAAAGGGCTTTTTAAAAATGGGCCACAGAAGTTTTCTATGTTCCTTTGAAAAGAAGTGTGATTTTAACAATGTTGCGCATGCCTTCTTTCTCCACAGGCCCCGTCTCCAGTCTGCTTTTACCCCCCCTAAAGGCATGCCTCGGCCAAGGGGTACGGCATTGCCTAGGACTGTGGAGAGTCTGTCCGGAATAGGGTGTGATCCAGCATCATACCTGCATAGTCGAATTCTGTCTGCTCTGGTGGGACAGGAATAGTGACAGAGCCACGGGAATCTCTTTCTGAGGGAGAATACTTTGGGAAGCATTGTTTTACCAGAATGTTGAAGCAGTTTGCAAACATGGAATGCATTTTGTATCCCCATCAAAGTTAAAGGTGCTCCTGTCTAACGCGCGTTGACTTCTGTGTATTCATCTCGTTGCTGTTCGTCATTGTAGACTGAACTGTCAGGGGACAATGTAACATTTGGTTCCAGTGTTTCAACAGGGATTAAGAGGAACATCTGAAAAAAACCATCGAGCCTGCTGCCCATGATACAGGAGAGGGGAGAGGGTCGCTTGTGTTCGGGGCTAAAATCTAATTAATAAACATATTAGTAGGTGATTGATGACTAAGAAGCAAAACCAAATACCTGTCTTACGCTCAAGAGTTTTGAGGAGCTGAAACTGAGTTCTTAAATGGTTTTGGAGTTCTTCCTGTGTGTAGTAGAATGACTGATTTCCCACGTCATTTTTCTGGGTGTGTTCCATTGAAGAAACCACTTTCGGTGGGGTCTGCTTTGAACGGGTGAAGTCAAATGCCCGCCCCTTTCATTCTCCCGGGGACAGTTCCTCTGAACTCTGGGACCGGGTTTGGGTCCATGGGTGTCCCAGGCAGAGGAGTAACTTCTCTTTTATGTCAGTATTCTGGAAGTATTTGTCAGTGTCTCTACAGAGCAGGAAAGAATTATCTTAGAGCACATGAAGTGGGGGGTTTGGGGTTAGTGCATGGGACAGCCACTCACCAGCTCGGTGGTCTCAGGCAACACTGGGTGCTTCTCAGTTTCCCCATCTATAAAATGCGTGTGATATGCTGACTTCGTAAGGGCATAGTGAGGAGAAAGTGACCTTGTCCACGTAAAGTCCTTAGCACAGTGCCCGTCAAAGGGCGAATTCCCCCCAAATTATACGACTTCTAAAGTATGCTTCATGTCCCCCAAGATGAATATCTGCACATTGCCTTTTTTTTTTATTTTATTTTTTATTGATTAATTTTTGTTACAAATGATTCTCCTTTTTTCCCCCACTGATTTCCCCCTCCCCCTTCCCTCCCTGCCCCTTCCCCAGATTGTTGTCCATGTCCACTGTTCATGCATACATGCATATAGGTTCTGTGGTTCATCCCTCTCCCACCTCCCCACTCCTTAGGGGATTGTTCTCAAACTGTTATATTCATTATATTCCACAAATCAGTGAGATCATATGAAATTTGTCTTTCTCGGTTTGGCTTGTTTCACTTAGGATGATACTTTCCAGGTCCCTCCATGTAGTCTCAAAGGATAAGAGATCTTTCTTTCTTACCGCTGCGTAGTACTCCATTGTGTATATGTACCGCAGCTTTTTGATCCATTCGTCTACTGATGGACACTTGGGCTGTTTTCAGATCTTAGCGATTGTAAATAGTGCTGCTATGAACATGGGGGTACATATATTCTTCCTGATTGGTGTTTCCGGCTTCTTAGGGTATATTCCTAGAAGTGGGATCACTGGGTCAAATGGGAGATCAATTTTTAATTTTTTGAGGTGACACCATAGTGTTTTCCATAGTGGCTGCACCAGTCTGCATTCCCACCAGCAGTGCACTCGAGTCCCCTTTTCTCCACACCCTCGCCAACACTTGTTGTTTGATGATTTGTTGATGGCAGCCATTCTGACAGGTGTGAGGTGATACCTCATTGTTGTTTTGATTTGCATCTCTCTGATGATTAGTGATGATGAACATTTCTTCATATGTCTCTTAGCCATTTGTATGTCCTGTTTGGAGAGGTGTCTATTCAGTTCCTCTGCCCATTTTTTAATTGGGTTCTTTGTCTTCCTTTTGTGGAGTTGTATGAGCACTCTATATGTATTGGAAATTAACCCCTTATCTGATATATCATTGCACATTGCCTTTTAGCATAGCGTACCTTTGAGAGAGCAGTGGGTTTTCTCTCACTGGGGAGACAGCTCTAGGCCTTCCCTGGAGTCGTGGGAAATGCCCGTTGGGTGAGAGGAATGTAGCTCCACACCCCGGCTGTGCCTCGGTGCCCAGCCCCCGGTGGGGAAGAACACCGTGTGGGGACTGGATTCGCCGGAGAGTCTGGCCACCATGTGTCTTCCCCATCGGCCCCCACTCTGGAGAGACGCGTGTGGTCCTGACCCCACAGCAGTGCGTCCCTGCCCTTCTCGGGGGAGACTCAGTGGGCCTCGAGGAAGATACGGGGGTGAGCCAGGTGGTCCAAGGTCTTGAACATCTCTGTCTAGATTCAGATAGCAAAGGACAAGGGCAACGTCCCAGAACAGTGTGAAGTTCAAAGCCATGTGCGCCTGTGGAGATCTGAGTGTGGTTCTTTCTTCTCCCCTGAATGGGGGAAGGAGACTTGGGGTGACAGGGCCATTACTGGAGGCCAGGATAGAGTGGAGAAGATGCACAGACACGTGGTTGGCCCTGGGCTCTCCTCGGAGCCCTCTCTCCTTGTCCCTGCTTGTCACCTGGGTGGACGCTGCACCGACCAAGACCACGCGTGTGCTGATTCCACATCGAGGCGTGGCCCCGTGTTCCCTGCCCGAGGCAGCCAGACGTTTGGTTCCGTCACAGGCTCCAGGACATTGACATTGAAATGTTCCTGGTAGCTGGTCGATCAATTTATCTTGGGTTGACACTTATTTTATTTTTTTGAACACAAATATATAGTGTCACTGATTACCTTGGATGGAAACGGTGTCCGCATGTATTTCTTGACCTGGATTAGTGTCTGAGCATTGTGTGTGTGCACTGAATCTGGGTGGCCTGTCTCTTCGGATGCGGCTTCTGTGGGGAGTTTGAGATCGTCTGGTCCTCTGTGGAACCAGGATAATTCAAGTATCATTTCTGGGGCCCGTTTTCTGTGTTCTGGACTATAGATTGCTGAGAGCATAAGATATTAAGACTCCCTGTGGATGCAAAGCACTCAGACGGTGTCCTTGTACGACGTTAATGAAATAATATGACACAGACATGAAGCAAATGTTAGATGCAAGCACACGAAACATGTCAGGTTGTGTTTTCTCATCTCGGGCATCTGTGTCTGTTATTAAAATAATAACAATGACATCACTGATATGGAAACCTGTTCTTTTAAAAGTTAATGCAATTTTTAAAAATTAACCATAGGGGGGTGACATTGGTTAATGGAAATATATAGGTTTCAAGCGTGCAGTTCTGTAATATTAAAAGTGACTGTTGTTTGCACGTGTACTGACATCGTCCGCTTCTGCGGTGGCTGCTTTGCCTGGGTCGTCAGAAGCGAAGAAAACGTTGGTTGTCGCAGGTGCGTGTGTGTCTTCCTGAAGCACCTTCGATGTCAAATCGAAGAAGTCTGGAGCCTACCTCGGGGTGAGGAGCCCCCAGAACAGTGGCGCGTCCTGAGCCGCCGCACACTTTTTAAGCTATCAAACCTCTTCCTCTCTTGCAGCGAGAGGTTCTTCTTACGGCTGAACCGAAACGGACTTCCCAAGGCCCCAGACAAGCCGGAGCGGCACTGCTCGCTCTTCGTGGTAAGTGGCCCCGGCTGCCCCCCGAGACCAGGCTCCCCGCTGCCCTCCGTACTGTTGAGGAGAAGTGTGACTGGGAGCGAACAGGGGGAAGGTGCTTACACTCTGCGGACAACTCGTGAATTACAGGCGAGCCCAGGATTCCGACACCGTCCTTCCCTGCCCCCGGCGTGGTGGAGGCGGTTCCTCTGGACGGGACAGTGGGGATAGGGCCCCGCATGGCCTTTGACATCGCACATGACCCGAAACGAGTGTGGAGGATGAGTGAGAGGTTGACATGAGAACAGGCTTCCCTTCCACTGTCCTCCGACGCCAGTAAACCTACAGACGAGTCAGTTACAGTCCTTGTGGAGTGGGGTCGGACCGTCTGCTTCTGCTGCGGAAACACCGTTAGAGATGTTAGAACCCGCGGACACAGACACTCGTGTGGGGAAGGCGGGGGCAGGAGTGGGGAGGAGAGGTCAGTGGGGGGACGTGGAGGGACATCGGTAACACATTCAACAATAAAGGTAAGTTTAAAAAAATAACACTAACTGAAAAAAAAAGTCTATGTTGATCTTTCGGGCAAGAAACATGTAAATGTTATTTTGAAAGGCACTATAACATGGTTTTAGAAAGTTTAGTAGATCTTTAAAAAGACACCACTCACAATGCTATGAAACACAACTCTCATTTTTTGTGATACCTTCTAGACATGTTTTAAGCACCCGGCCGGTGTGGCTCAGGGGACTGAGCGTCGTCCCGTGGACTGAGAGGTCCCGGTTCGATTCCCGGTCAGGGCACAGGCCCGGGTTTCGGGTTCAATCCCCAGGAGGGGGTGTGCAGGAGGCCGCTGATCAATGCTTCTCTCTCACATTGATGTTTCTCTCTCTCTCTCTCCCTTCCACTCTCTCTAAAAAAATCAATAAAAACATGAAAAAAATAAAATAAATAAAAACGTTTCAAGCTGTCTCTGTGGGCAACCGCATCTTTTGAGCTACCTCTTGTTTGCTTGTCTGTTCTGTTCCCTTCTCCCCACCCCCCACCCCTTAGGCAGCCATCAGCTTGTTCTCGCTCTGTTTTCTGCATCTGTTTCATTTTGATTATTTATCTGTTCACTTTTTAAAAAATTTCTACATATACATGAGATCATACGGTATTTGATTTTCTCGGACTTACTTTACTCTGTGTAGTACGCTCGGGTCCATCCATGTTGCTGCAAGATTTCGCTTTGTCTTGCTGCGTCATATTCCATTGTAGGTGAACCACGTCTTCCTTATGCAAACGTCTAGTGATCGATGTCCAGGCTGCTTCTGTATCTTGGCTCTTACTAAAATTCTGCAGTGAACATAGGGGTGCACATATCTTTTTAAGTGAGCATTTTGCTTTCTTCAGGTAAGGATCCAGACGTGCAATTGCTGGATCGTCTAAAAGCTCTGTTTTCATCTGTTATTTGCAGAAATAACGTGCTGTGCCCTTTAAATGCTTCCGCATAAGGGATGAGTATTACAATAACTAGACCGCATTGTTTTGGCAGGATCTGGGCAGCAGCGAGCTACGGAAGGACATCTACATCACGGTGCACATCATCCGAATCGGTAGGTGTGACGCCTGTCGGTGTGCTGGGGCTTCTGTCGTTGTGATTTTCTGCTGTCTGAGCCAGATCTGAATCTGACCATCAGAGACTGGGAATTGCTCCCTGGCCTCCCCACACCCCTGGGCAGCACACTCACCCCCACACAGATCCTTCTCCTTCCGAGTAAGTCCTTACGTGGTTGGTTGTTCCCTTTTGTTTTATTGGACACCCTGACCACATTTGATTGAACAATGTCGTATTCCTCTTTTGAAAGTCTAATTTCTGTTCACAGCATAAACTAGACTCTTAGGGCTGGATTTCCTGCAGGGTCGTGAGAACGACCCGGCTGGCACCTCCCAGAGCACAGCATGCTGCCCAGGAGGGGGTCCGAGGTGCTCAATACCCTGCGTGTTTGCACCTGTAGCTTATCATCGGCTTCTTAAAGGGGCCGAGGACCCCCGCAGGGAGAAATTAGCCTCTCTGGCTTGGCCGACCCTAGCTTTGTCCACATTTGATTCCACTGTGGGGACATTTACGTAATGCGACATTTCCAGCTAGCAGTACACACTTTGGGTGTTCACTCGTTTTTCTACGTCAGATGCTCCTAAAAGCAGGCGTTTCATGGCAGAGGAACGAGGCGAAATGAGGGATGGTGGAGCCTTCACAGTTATTCCTGCTGAAGCCCAGCAGACGTGCTGAGAACGGCCCCCACCTGGCACCGTGGGTGCCCCCACCAGTCACCGTGGTGCTGCACTGCTTGCTTGGGGAGCTTCTCAGGAGGGGGACTCCTCGCTAGGCAGTGCACTGAGTGGTCGTTATTTTTACTGCTTTTTACTTGATGCGCTTGATAACCACACGGTGCGTCGTCAACACTGTAAAACATGTTGTTCCAACATAGCTTTTCCATATATAGTTTCTCCTAAAAAAAAGATCTGTTCCGAAAACCCGTTTTCATTTGATGTATTTTTATATTTGAAGGACAGTAGACATTTTAAAAAGTAAACTGTTTCCGGGTTTGTTGTAATTTTCTCTTTACAAATGAGCATGTGGGAACAGCATTTGGAAAGAACCTTTGAGCACCGCAGGAGAGCTGTGCCGTTGTGTATTCGGGAGATACGCCGCTGTCTGCCCCCATGCGGCTTGTTACATAATTCTGAGACTCTGTGTGTGTGTGCGCATGTGTGCATTTTAGTCCAAATGTACAATACAAGTCGTTAATGTAAAACGTGGTTTAGGGTATATTCATGTAAACATTGCTAAGATTCACATATGATTGTCTTTAGCATGGAGAGAAAAAGTAAGCCACTTTTACTCTCAGGACTTTTAAAAAGGTGTGAACAGCCCTGGCCAGTTTGGCTCAGCGGTTAGAGTATCGGCCCGCGGACCGGAGAGACCCGGGTTCGGTTCCCGCTAAGGGCACGTACCTCGGTTGCAGTTTGTCCCCGGCACCAGTTGGGGTCATGTGGGTGGCAGCCACTCGATGTGTCTCTCTCACGTCGATGTTTCTCTCTCTCTCTTCTGCCCTCTCTCCCTCCCGCTCTATCTGAAGATAAATGCAAAAACGTCCTCGGGTGAGGATATAAAAAGGTGTGCACCAGGTTTTCGTGGTGCCAACACGTGGCAGAGAGACGAGGTGGCCCGCTGGCCCCTGGTCTGCGGCTCTGTCCTTTACTCACAGGGTTGTTGCTAAGGAAACCACTCAGCTGTGTGGCCCTTACAGGGCTGTCTGCAAAGCCACACTCCTGGGCAGCGTTTGCAGCTTTCGCTAAGGATTTTACCAGGATTTCTAAGGCCGTTGAGTCGTCGGAATGAACGTGGCATCAGAAATGACCTCCATGCCCCTCCTCCGCCCCGGCTTTGCTCAGGTCACCACCTCCCTGAGCTCCCTGCCAGCATCGGCCTGGGATCAGGCTGGCTGGTTTGACACTTTGACACTGAGGAGAAACGAGATGGAACGTAAGACACTCTAAGAAAGCTCTCGAGTAAGTGCTGCAGTGAAATTAAGGTGTGGAGGACTCTTGTCTCTCGGGCTGATACTTTTTCTAGAATGTTCCTTGTACCTGCTTTAGCAGGCATAGGGCCCACTGACCCTCCCTGGCTGCAGAGGACGGCAGCACTCTGCCTTGGAATTTAAGCCCCAGCCTTTGATGGGTAGAGGGGAGGAAAAGAAGAGAAATAATCTGTCTCCTAGCCTCTTGCCTGTCCTGCTTTTCAAATCCATCTGTCCCCTTTCGGCTTTTAGCTGGTTGCCAAATGCTTTTACCTGCCCTCTCCTGCCTTCCTTTCCGCTTAGACAGTTTCCCTAGAAATGTGACCAGACCTGGGACCTGTTATTAATCCCAGAGTTGGCAGCACCAGGGCTGAGCTCAGACTGTCTTGTCAGCAGGGGAGGTGGGCCACGGGTCTGGGGTCCCAAGCAGTGGTGCCCACAGGGCCAGGGAAGGGAGGTGATCGATGGAGAGTCTGCGGATCAGAGCGGTGCAGAGGTTAGGGGTCCGAGACAGGGACGGAAGCCGCCCTGGAGAATCTTCCCAGCTCGTCCGAGAGAGCGCTGCCCTCAGCCCCCACACTTTGGGGTCCCCGAGCACCCATGTTTCTTCATGACTGCAGCTCTAGCTGAAGGGGGGGCACCAGTGGGCTGAGTGTTCACGCTGCCTGTAAAGTCCTTGGAATTCAGCAAGAGGAGCCCAGGGGACTCCTGAGAGTTTGGGTTTTTCCCCTTATAAACTCCTTGTACGATGACACATATCTTTGAAATACTCCACGCAGAACTCTCCTAATCACTTTGTCGTCTTGCATTTACGAGGAAAGGAATAAGAAAGAAAACAAATAGTCTTGAAATCATGATACCGATAAAGATTGGAGCATATATTTCATCCTGACATGATCTATAATCACATTTAAAGGAGAGATAAACTAGACTTTTTTTTTTCTGTTTGAGTGACCAACATTTCAAACTTGTTTAAATCAATTCTGGGAGTAAAAATATGATTTGTTGATGAATAAATGCCAATATGACTTTGCAGAGTATTGGATTTGCAGATGAAGCTTGTATCAAAATGTAGATTGAGATTTAGTCACATATTACAGCATCAGGTCACAAAAATAAAATTTTTGAAATGCTTACATGTCGTACAACTAAAAAGCAAACTGACTTATTTGGACCATGTTTTAGTTTTGGTTTCAACTGATAGAATGAGCGCTTTGGGGGCTATTGGTAAGCATTTCCATGAAAATGTATTTTGGAGAAGCAGTTGCCCCTCACTGCCCATGAACCTGAGCCAGATCCGATGGCTGGACTTCCTGACGCTGGACTAGGGGAGCCGGAGCCGTCCCCATGTGCTGAGGAGAATTTCCCTGCAATGGAAACAACCTCTGGTTCCTCGCCAGGCATCGGGGCGCAGATTAGCAGGTTTAAAAACAAATTATTTTTCCTCGGATTAATTAACTTGCCATACTTTGGCTCCAGTGGACTTTCTGCTTTCTGTCTCCCAAATAATGCATCGGTAATGAAATGCAATAGTACACGCAAACAGTATCTTCGTGACGTATTTAAAGATCTCTAACAAGCCCAACAAGGTGAGCTGTCGAGGTGAGCAGCGTCCCCGAGACCTCAGCCACCGGCTGCGCTGTAAGCGTCCTGAGCGCCGAGTCGGGGACGATGAGCTCATTTCGGCGCCTGTCAGCTCATCCCAGCACCTGCTCCTCCGAGGCTCACTCCTTCCTCCGAAGGGCGACCTTTGAACGAATCATTTTTAAAACAGAAAAATGGAAGAGGCACCTTGGCTGCCTTTCGTGACCTGGGCCTTCTGGGCACCTTCACGAACCCTTGGGAGGAGGGTTCCTAGACATGGGCCCAGCCCCAGGCTTCACGGTCCCTCGACGGCGGTGGAGGCTGAGTGTGAGCTGCGGGCTCGAGGTCCCACGGCTCGGTCGTTGGCGAGGAGGGCCTGGAACAGAAGTGGCCTCTTCTGTCACCCCAAACCCGTGTCCTTCCCCTCGCCAGTGACGTTCCCTGGGGACTGTCTCTTAGCTGTATGTGTCTCTAGTGATGAGGCCGGAGTCCAATGGCTCCCTGGGCCATGTCTGCCGTCTCCCTGAACAGGCCGGATGGGGGCCGGAGAAAAGAAGAATGCCTGCAGTGTCCAGTACCGGCGACCCTTTGGCTGTGCCGTGCTCAGCATTGCCGACCTGCTGACCGGGGAGACGAAGGACGACCTGGTCCTGAAAGTGTACATGTAAGGATGCGCGGGGCGGGGCGGGGCGGGGCACGTGGGCCCTGCTTGGTCAATGCCCCTTCACACAGGGTGGGCAGGTGAGGGGGTGTCACAGGCGTAGGTGTTGGGAGCTCCAAGGTCTAAGGACGTACACTGCAGAAGCGACGCTGTAAAGAGCAGGCACGCTCTCAGGGTGGTGGCTGGACCTCATGTACCCTCCTGCTTAGCAGAGTGTGTGTGTTTTCCCAGGTGTAACACGGAGAGTGAGTGGTACCAGATCCACGAGAACATCATCAAAAAGCTCAACGCGCGCTACAACCTGACCGGCTCCAACGCGGGTGAGTGCGGGCTGGCCGGCGCTCCCCAGACGTCCTTCAGGCCGTCTCCTTATGTGACCGCGAAAGAGGAAGTGAGCTGCTCTTCATCTTGCTCTCTCCCTGCCTGTAAAATTGCGCCGTCGACATCCTCGTCCGCCGTGCGCCTTCCTAGGTTAGGACAGATAGGCGTGTTCTAGAACTCGCTCTAAGAAGTCTATTTCATTCTGGTTTAAAGCAAGGCAGAGTATCCACACTTGTTCAATAGCCATAAACCTCGAGACCTCGAAGTTGTTACTGATGGCTGAAAACCAAATGACAGATACATTTGAGTCATGACGGTCGTGTGGAAGAGTGTGATGAACGGGAACCTGTCCGCAGGGCCCAGGAAAACTCGCTTCCCTGCCTGTGGAGAAGGCGCCATCACTGGCCCGGAGAACAAGCATGCAGGCCCCACACTCACACTGGCTCAGGGTAGGGATGCTGGCTGCAGGCCCGACGACACGTGTGCACGCATGTCCAGAGGGACCTGAAGTGTGACCAGCATCGCACATTACATGTCACATGGTGCGTTGTCTTACACCAGTAACGCTGTAGCATACACTACATTGTATAGCACGTCTCATAGTCTTACACCAGCAACACTGTAGCATACACTACATTGTATAGCACGTCTCATAGTCTTATACCAGTAACACTGTAGCGTACACTACATTGTATAGCACGTCTCATAGTCTTACACCAGCAACACTGTAGCATACACTAAACTGTATAGCACGTCTCATAGTCTTATACCAGCAACACTGTAGCGTACACTACATTGTATAGCACGTCTCATAGTCTTACACCAGTAACACTGTAGCATACACTACATTGTTTAGCACGTCTCATAGTCTTACACCAGTAACACTGTAGCGTACACTACATTGTATAGCACGTCTCATAGTCTTACACCAGTAACACTGTAGTGTACACTACACTGTATAGCACGTCTCATAGTCTTACACCAGCAACACTGTAGCGTACACTACACTGCATAGCACGTCTCATAGTCTTACACCAGCAACACTATAGCATACACTACATTGTATAGCACGTCTCATAGTCTTACACCAGCAACACTGTAGCATCACTACATTATATAGCATATCTAGGTGATACAGTGGAGAAGTGACATCTTGAAGCTTGGTGTGTAGACAAAAACTTGGTGAATATTGCTTGCTCCCTATCTCCCTTTCATACCTGCGTGGTGGTGAAAACAGCAACCACAAAACCATGTGGTTGTGTGCGTTCTTTGATGCAGACAGACTTCAGATGAAGCGAGTAGTTCTTTGAGCTGAGTGCATTGTTTTTCAGACTGGTTTCTAAAGGACCTTGAAGATAGATGGGTACTTGTGTTATAGTCCCACTTGCCTGGCAATGAGAAGAACCAGAATTTAAATTCAGACCACCTTCTTTTCACCCCGGGGTGGTCCTTGTTCAGTGTCCTCTAAACCCATCCCCCTTCTGCAGGAAAGGCAGTTATAGGAACAGCGGACAGGTAGGTGTCCAGGAACCGGGGGGCTTTCTCATTGAAAGGGAGGCTCTCTAATGACCTATAAAAATAGTGGGAAATTGGGTGCCTCCTGTGCCGACCATCCAGTGGCTAGGTGTGTTGCTTTCCGCTGTTTTCTCCTTGGACCGTGGAATTGTTGATTAAAAAGAAACGGCACCATCAGATGTTTTTAAGAGAATCGAGTTTGCTCAGCAGAGGAGTGGTTTTCGCAGCTCTCCCCCTGCTGTTCTTTGGTCCTTGGTACTAAAAAAAAAAAGAGAGAGAGAGAAAACTTGAAATTAGTTTTGGAAGGAAATTCTACCACTTAATTTCAGGCCCTTTGTGCGTCACTGATGGAATCCCATCTGTTTAATCCATAAAGGATTCGTCGCTTTAACTGGTTTTCCTATCTAACCTGAGATTCGAGTTGCAAAGGCCCATTAACCACTGTCTTCGCTGAGTTTAGAAACAGGGAGGAAATTGCTAGTGACCCACTTAACTTTTAAAGACAGAAAGAAAATCACTGAATTCACATATCTCTCTGGTCAGATTTAGTCGAGTAACTTTGCTCTGGGGGAATTTTAAAACCAAAAAGTACTACCGTAAGAATTTGAAAATCTAAAAGTATTTATTAAAGTGATCCTGGTTTAGGCTCCTTGAGCAGATGGTTATTGTCAGTGTCACCTCTGATAGACGTAGGAATGCGAAGTCAGGCTGAGCCACCGTGATGTACTGAGGCAGATTCAGGTCCGTGACTTGAAATGCATTATGTAAAAATCATTGGCACTGGCTCAGTGTGTCCTAAGAGAAACTTCAAATTCTTGTCATATTATCTCTGTATTTGTGAAGTTCTGTTTCCCGTGGTTGGCACACGTAGCTGACAACTAGAAGAAATCATATTTTTGAATTAGGTCAATTTCTGCAGTCTTTTTTTTTTTTTTTTTTTTTGCGTAAGATGACTGAGTGTACATAGTGGCTGCCCTGCTACCCACCCCCTGCCCCCCCAGAAGTAAAGGGGATCACCTAGACAGAGCCCAGGGCACACAGGGAGGGCAGTGTAACTCCAACAGGAAGTGGGTAGCGGTTTTTACTTGGGGGAGGCTTTTGGGAGACCTAGGCTGTATGGGGGGCGGCTGAGCACCCTGACCTCACATACCACTGTAGTCATTTCCTTCAACGTTGCTGAATTGGTGTAATTTCCAAGGATGCATCCATGCCAGTCTGGAACACTGCCTTAGACATACATGGCTGTCTGGCCTCCTTGAAAGTGGTACTTTTTGGCGCCACCTATTGGCTAGAAATATAGTATGTGTTCTTTTTGCTCACCTTTGGAATTTTCTGATTATCAAACCATGCTCTTTTAAAGCTGTTTTTTATTTTATTATTATTATTATTATCAATAAATTTTACTTGCAGAGATGTTGTGAGAATAGTGCAAGGAATTTGTAATTTCTCCAAGGTGAACATTTTACAATACTGTGTGTGTGTATACATATAGATATATGTATGTATGCATACTCTTCATATATATAAATACGGAGGGTTTTGAAGTAGTTTTTGTAAGCCCTGGCTGGTTTGGCTCAGCAGTTAGAGCATCAGCCCTTGGACCAAAGAGTTGAGGGTTCAATTCCAGTATAGCGATTCGGTCCCTGGCCTGGTTGGAGTCATGTGGGAGGCAACCAGTCGATGTGTCTCTCTCACATCAGTGTTTCTCTCTCTCTCTCTCTCTCTCTCTCTCTCTTTTCCCTTTCCACTCTGTCTGAAGATAAATGGAAAAGTATCCTCGGGTGAGGACTTAAACATAAATTTAAAAATATTTTTTTTGTGTATATATGGATATGCTCTCTATATAGCCATTTAATATTACTCACTTGGTATAATCCTTAAGAATTACACATACGTGCATGTACAAATCACACATGTACACATCACACACACATACATTCCCCGCCCTCCAGTGTCAGGCATGACGCCTCTGTGCTCGGCCCACTCCGTCATGGGGTTCACACACCATGCAGCAGGTCTGTGACTGCCCTGATCCGTTTCTTCACCCAGCCTGGCTCATGTCCACACTCGGTCTCTTCCGGGTGCTTCTGGCTTTCACGCCATGGACTCATTTCCCAGCAGCGTCGTCTCACTCAGCACCACTCCCAGCAGACGCTGGGCTTCCGTTCTTCCCTCTGCTCCCGAGACCCTGTCTCTGACCCCTCGGGAGACAGCTCGCCTGCTCCCTCAGGTGAAGGAGCCCTGAATGCTCTCTCTGGCTTTGAGTTGGACCCAAATAGCATATATGCTTCTAGTGTATTCATTTTATTTAAAAATTTTTATTGATTTTTAGAGAGTGGGACAGGGAGAGAGAGAGAAGCATCGATTGGCTGCCTCCTGTATGCACCCCCACCAAGGACCGAACCTGCAACCGGGGCTTGTGCCCTGACCGGGAATCGAACCAACAACCTTTCAGTGTATGGGACGGTCCTCAGCCAATGGAGCCACATCAATGTCAATGATCTCACCCTGTAGATACAACATACAACACTCATAAAACACAAAATAGGACCCAGAGCAAAATTCTGGTGATAAATTTTGTAAATCAAGCACATAGGAGGGAATAGAAGTAACAATTTTTTTTTCCTTTTTTTTTTTTTTTAATTTTCACCTGAGGACATTCTTGCATTCATCTTCAGATAGAGCGGGAAGGAGAGAGGGAGGAAGAGAGAGAGAGAAACATCGATGTGAGAGAGACACATCGACTGGTTGCCACCCACACAACCCCAGCTGGGGCCGGTGACAAACTGCATCTGAGGTACGTGCCCTTAGCGGGAACCGAACCCGGGTCTCTCTGGTCTGCGGGCCGATGCTCTAACTGCTGAGCCAAACTGGCCAGGGCAGAAGTAACAATTTTTGCTCTGATTATAATGAGGTCCTAAATATTTCAGAACTGAGCAGATGTTACTGAAGATGATTTTTGAAAAGAATTTAATACTATCATTTTTAGGAAGCTTTGCTGATATCTCATGATGTCTGTAATTTTGCTATTCAAGGTTAGAAGTCCCAGTAATTGTGCTTTGCCCTCAGCACCCCCACCTCCCAGATACAGACAAAGCGTGAGAGCCCCGCTAGGAAGTCTGTTTGTGGTGTCGCAGCCTGAGAAGCAGCAGGGACCCACTCCAAATGGGAACAACCCGAACTGGTAAAGGTCATATTTTAAGAAGGCATTGAAGTCTGAAAATGTTCCTAAGAGCATACAGCAAACGAAGGAAATAGTCATTCAAGAATAACTATTAAACCTTGGTAGGAACAGAGAGAGTTGGTGGCCCTTATGCCACCGTCCACTTCCCCCCTCCCACCTGCCCCTGCTCAGCACGATGGGAATTCTGCTCCAGGCAGATGTGCCAAGAAGAAGGAACCCTGCTCCCCTCGGCTCTCAGTCCGGGGAGGCCGCATCTCATCAGGGCGAGGGCGGCCAGCTTTCTCGTCTCCCTTAGCTGTG